CAGGTTAGCTCGTTCGCTACGCTCACTCGCCTCCAGGTTGAAGTTCGTTCGCTACGCTCACTCACCTTTTGGTTGCAAATTAGCTGTTGTCATAAATGTAAAAGAAATAATAGTGCTGCACCCTGTTGGTAATCCTTGTAACTATTAAAGTTATTAAACTATTAACTACGCTATTGAACATCATAGAACAGAACCAACTTGTTTAATTGAAACAGCTGTTAAGATTCATTAATTCCATTTCTCATAAGGTTAACATGGGAAACTCCAGAGCCACTGGGGCGGAGCCCTTTTAAGAATTTCGAAACGGGAAATAGTTTACGTCCGATTCGCATACCTACAGAATTTACACACCAAATTTCATAACGATCGGTGAAGTCGTTCCGGAGGAGTTTGCAGACAAACACTGTGACACGAGAATTTTATATATTAGATTTAAAAGCTGTGGTCGAAGTAGACGTACAATATAATCTATGATATACTGCAAGTAACAATAAACTGGATCTTACACTCTTGCATATTAGAAGATTAACTAACGCTTGTTTGCAGATGAGCGATGAACTGAGCAGGCTACAGTCAGAGAGGAGGTTAAGAGAAGATGAGTACGAGGAGTTGAGAACCAAACAAGAGGCCATAGCTCAGTGGGAGGCACAGATTACAGAGATCATACAATGGTAACAACTTTTGTTAATATTTATATAATATCTTTTATGTATTTTTACTTGTAGTCTATGGACCAATCTGTTAAGTAAGTTGCTGATATACTTCTACTCTAGGTCTGGTGTAGATAAAATTAATTCTAAAGGGAAAATGGAATATAATAACATAATATCTAGTTTATTGTTTCATGTTGTCTTTTTTTTACAAATATCTTACATCTTTTAAAAATCTGAATCCAGAGGCCCCTAGATTCCCTAGAAAGTTACACAAAATAAAAATGATATTTCGTTCAGATGACTTTTCAGAGTAGGTTCTTTCTCTAAAGCTTAAACCCATCTATGAGGGGTGTGTGAAGCAGATTTGAATCGATGCAACTCGATTCAGAGCAACACGGAATTTTCCTATTCATCCTTGTCAATGGAGTGAAGTAATAATAATTAAAATTTACCCTATTTGTGTAATGCAAATTTTTGTTGATGTGGTAGTAAGCCTATTCATACATATGACATTTTATATGACTTTTAGGTGAAAAAATATTTATTTTCAATCATATATGACGTTACTGAATCCGTATCTATATACTTTATTGATTCAGTAGGCCTATCCATGATTCAATAATGTATATGGATACGGATTCAATAACATATGGCCCGGACTAATTCCCTCATGAATCAAATCGTTTTTTTTATCACCACTGAATGGTATCGCAATTTGATGCATCAAATCAAATGGAATTGGAATTTTGATGCATCTTCAATGCATTGCTCACCCCTACCATATATTAGAATGAGTGCTGTTTTCGTTGTAACAATGTTAACAGAGCCAGCCACATGGATTTGCCTTGAATAAAACTTGACGTTTCAAAATTATTTATTTTATAAAACAAAATGTTTAACCAATTTTTCCTTTATTTAGTACCTAATTTAGTTTTAGATTTAGATCAATTATAAATATTTCTTTTAGCTTGTTAAAATTTGTGCATTAATGTTGGCCAAATTATTACCATATACTGTAATTTTTTTAAAACAAATGTAAATTAAATCTTTTAGATATTTTTACTGTACAACTTCTAGTAACTTATTGTCTAGTTAATTTTCTTTATAAGATGCTGTACCGGTAGCTGTAGTAGTTGAAATGAAGTCTTGTACTAACCCACCTATTGTATGTATCAGGGTGAGTGATGAGAAGGATGCGAGAGGCTATCTACAAGCACTTGCCACCAAGATGACTGAAGAGTTAGAGTTCCTAAAACATGCTGGCATAGCCAACGTCCCCACCTCGGTAAGTCCCTACTGACAATCAGCGTAAAGTTGTCAGAAACACTCAGGGGGGTTCAATTTTAACGCGGGACGTTGTTAAGGCTCAATTCTGATGTAGGTTCTTACTACCAAGTTATGAAGATTGTGAGTTATAAAGATCTTATCTTACAATTTCTGAAGATTTGGAGGTTGAATTTGCCAAAAGCCACTCTTGTTGCTTAGGATTTCATTTCAGCATTAAGCACAAGTTATCTGTATCTCAAAACTTTGAGTACAAGTTACGCTTAGGATTTAGTCTTGGAAAATCATTCCATTAACCAATATTTACTAACATCTATTGGCATTTGTAATCAAATATCTATCAAGAGTATATTCCCATGTTTTTGGAGTCCTAAGGTTATAAACGGAGGGTACAAATATTTTTTTTTTTACTATATTTTTTCCTTGGCAATCAGTAAAAACTTGTAGGTTGTTTTTTCCTCGTTGACAGTTATTATCACTTTTAAGTCAAGACCGTGGATTAATCCTGTTGATTAACCTGTTGTGATTCCCAGGACAAAAATTGGAGGAATCGTCGGTCGCAGAAGCTTGAGAAGATGGAGTTGTTGAATCTACAGAGCAGCCTTCAGTCAGAGATACAAGCCAAGACCGCCATCAGTGAGGAGCTTAGCAAGACCAGATCTGATCTTGTGGCCTCTCAGAAGTAAGTCCTTCATTGGTTGAGGTTGCTGTGAAACCGAAAATGAAAACATTCATCTACGAGGTTTTATCATTCGAAATAACCTATTGTTAATTTTATGCTAGGGTTAGATCACAACCGAATATTACTGTAAGTAAACCTAACCTGTGAAGTAGGGATGGACGAGATTGGATTTTTAGTTCGAGACGAGACGAGATTTTTTATTTCTCATAACATTTTGAGACGTGACGAGATTTTTTATTTTTCATAAAATTTCGAGACGAGATCGAGACGGGATTTTCCTTCTCATACACAACGGGAAATGTACGTTCAAAATTTTTACCTGATTTTTTAACATTGTTAGATGACTGTTTAAATACAAAAATAATGATAATAGGCAAGAATATTTACAATCTTTTATTAAAAAACATCAGCATAACATTTTTTTATTAATCACGCCTAACTTATTAAAAATGCCTACGATTAGGAAACATCATGATATCAGTTAGGATATCAGTTAGGATAGAGTTCAACTTATCCTAAAATAAAATAAATCATAAAATAAAAGCAATATTAAGTTTTATAAAATAGTTACTTGTTTTGACTTTTTATAGTAATAAAACATTTCTCACACTGCTTACACTTTACAAAACTTCTCGAATGTTATTAAAGTAATATTATTAAAATAATTAAAGGAATATTTACATTTAAAGAATTAATTAAATAAGAACGCCTTCACAAAGGAAACGCAACTACAACACGCTCCTGTATTGCGGGTATTGCATTGACTTTCTGCAGGCGTTTTTTATTTTTTTTATTTTTTTTTTTTTATTCCTGTCTCGGTAAAAATCTCGGCCAAAAAGAAATCTCGTCTCGTGTAACGAGATTTAAAATTTCCTGAAAATTTCCCGAAATTTCGAGACTTGACCATCCCTACTGTGAAGTGATGTAGCGGCAATGAGTCACCTAGCAACAAGAAAAAGCCATATCTGGTTGACAAGCTGAAACGGTAAAAGTTTTACGTGGTCACAGCACAATTTAGATAATCTTCTGAGGTCATGGTGAAATCGTGAACATCACCTGTGATGGCCACGGAATTGTTTATTTTTCAATCGTGCATCTTCTCAAACGCTTTTCTCGATCACAGAAATATACGCTTGGCTCAGCTCGACTTAACCCGAGCTAGGGGAGCCACTGACACATAGTAAAAAGGTGTCACACCTGGCAACTGGGAAAAATTGAATTTTTTCTAGGGGTAGTGTGGCGATCTTGAATAACTAATCCGGACAACGGATATTAAGTGAATTATTTCATGTAAAGTTCCTATTTGTGTATATTTGGCCCCTTACTCAGATTTTCCCTCAGTAAACCCAGTTCCTTAAAAAAAGAGTTTGTCACAGTTTTTTTCAGGTTTAATTATTTAATTGTTTAAAATGCTGAAGGGAAACATAAAGCAAGTGTAAGCACAAATTATTTACCTGGCGAGACAAGGATTGTCGAGACTTATTAGCAGGAACACGATGAATTTTGTTACACATTCAAAGACATGTGTAATTGTATATTAATCAAGTTCTGTTTACAGAGAGTTGCGAGACTTCAGGCAGCGTTACGACAGCATCTCTCACGAACTGAAGCGCAAGGAGATGCAGATTAAGGAGTTACAAGGTCGTCTGGACTCAGGCGAAGGATGTGAGTAAAGACGCTTGCATGCTCTCGCCTCTGCTGTAGTTGTAGCCGCTTGCTGTAGCCCTATAGTCAACGGACACTTAGTAACAACTTCTAGTCATTTTACCTAATGGATTCTTACTTAAAGCTAGTCAAATAGTAATGTAAACTGTGATAGTAAGTGGTACTCAGTTGTAACTTGTGGTGTGATTGATATATACTCAGTTGGATTGAATGAGTAGAGTAATTGTGTGGAATACTTCCATACTTGTAAATAAAGAGGTTTTCTAAGTATTCGGTGAAACCAACTATTGTCTTCTGGGGAAACATAAGTTTGGTTTCATTATTTAAAAAACATAACCAAATCAATTTTGTAAGGAATGTTGTTGGGTTAACAGGCTTGCCTGAATGGAATAGAATGAATTTTGGCCCAAGAAACTTCAAAACCTTGTACACAATGAGTTACATATTTCACAACTTCGAAGTCATCTTGGACCAGATGACAAATACCTAAATGTTGAACTAAAACTTCCTTTGTAGAGAATTCTGTGTATGGTGAAATATTTTAATTGTGTACAGTTAAAGTTTCCAGTATGGTCTCTTTCCCATTCAGATAAAAATGGTATTCCAACAACAATCCTAAAAACTTAGGCCATTGTCTTCTATTATGTTTATTTATATATGTGGGCACTCCCACATATTTATTTCAATCTTTTCTCTTCACTCTCAAAATTTATTTATCACTTACATTCTCTTCCCAATAAATTATTTTTATTTAGTTTTTCTTATTTCTCGAAGACAGAAAATTATTTTTCAGGAGTTCCAGTTTTAGTTAATTAATTATGTATTGCTATAATATTGTAATTTTTTATCAATCAATAAAGCATTGATATCATCCAACTTGTTTTTTAAATAACACCTTAATAAATATAATAACCCCTAAATATAAAACCCCTTGTAAAGCAAGATAAAGTTATTTTGTTCAAAACAATTCTAAACTTGTCTTAATATTTTACTTGTTTCCATCTCATAACGTTGTTTATTACACAATCCTTAGATGAGTACTGTGCTTTTGTTACTTTAAAAATCAATTTAAAACTGTTGCTCTTTTATTAACCTTGGTTGATCCGCTCCTGGTTAATCGAGGTTTTACTGTATAGACTTTTTGTGATGCTGCATGTATTTTTTCACCAAACATTAAATTATTTTATAATAAAAGTATATGAACTAACCTTGTGGTGTGATAAATTGATGGTGATAGAATTATTTATTTTTTTACTTTGGTTAATTTTGAGTCCTTCCATCTTTTCCTCAAAACTCTATAAAATAGTGCATGTACAATAGACTACTACTAGTACTAGATATTAATAATATATATATATCCTCTACAGTATTTTAGAAATAAACTTTGTTTACATTTGTAGTTTTTCTCTCTCCTTTGTTTTTATTTTCCATTCACCAAGTGTATTTATATTAATCTGTTGTATAGTTTATGGTTAATTTAAAATGATTGATTTTTTCTCAGGATTGTTTAGAAAAAGAAAGAATGAGAATGATATCATTTAATTCTTGTATGTCAATTCTTGGTAAGAAGAAATCTTTATAAACAATAGTCTGTATTTAAAATGGGGGTTATTTGTTGTTAATTTCTCCTTTGATACCCAAAAACTTTGGTTTAATAATTGTTTGTAATTCAACAAAACTTTATGTTTTGATTTTTTAGCCTTGGGTTTATGTGAAGCAAACATTTATGTATAAAAAATTGAATTTTTCACTGATAAATAACATTTACAAGAGCTGTTTTATTTATTGGTTCAATATTTGGGTTTGTTTTTACTATAAATACCCCCTCTGCAGTAACCCTGCAGACCAAAAAATTTTTAAATTGCCTGATTGAATTTATATTTTGGATTTATTCCCTAATTATAGAATTTGGTTTAACAAGGACCTAGGTTTGCTGTTTACAGGGAAGGGAAATAGTGCTTTTGTTTTTGTAAAATGTTAATTGTATAGTTTAAAAGAAATAAATTTGCCTAAATTGATCAAAATAATCAAGCAAACTACAAGGGTTTACTTTTTCTCTATAAGAACAAAATGGCAATTTTAAATATTCAGTTTTCTTGGAATTTTCTATGTGGCCCTTCATTCTACTACAACGCTTTTCAATATACAAAATTGGTTCTTTTAGCGAATTTCCCTATAGGGAAGTAGCTATTACCGTAGGTCTCATGGTAAGACTTAGGCCCGGGACCGATTTACTTTTTCATTTTGATGTCCCCAGAGGCCAAAAACACCATTCGTTCAAATTTTTATATATGTATATATATATATATATATATATAGATTTATATATATATATAGATTTATATATATATACTAGCTGACCCGGCGAACTTCGTATCGCCTAAGTTATAGGTTTCCCCTAAGACAGACCGATGGAAAGAAAGTACCGTTACGTTTAATTTTCAAGATGATCTCGTTCGCATCGCTCAATCACGTCCTGGTTGAAGTTCGTTCGCTACGCTCACTCACCTTTGGGTTGGAGCTCGTTCGCTACGCTCACTCACCTTTGGGTTGGAGCTCGTTCGCTACGCTCACTCACCTTTAGGTTGGAGCTCGTTCGCTGCGCTCACTTGCCTTCAGGTTAGCTCGTTCACTACGCTAACTCGCCTCCAGGTTGAAGTTCGTTCGCTACGCTCACTCACCTTTTGGTTGCAAATTAGCTGTTGTCATAAATGTAAAAGAAATAATAGTGCTGCACCCTGTTGGTAATCCTTGTAACTTTAATGCTATTGAACATCATAGAACAGAACCAACTTGTTTAACAGCTTGTGAAACAGCTGTTAAGATTCATTAATTCCATTTCTCATAAGGTTAACATGGGAAACTCCAGAGCCACTGGGGCGGAGCCCTTTTAAGAATTTCGAAACGGGAAATAGTTTACGTCCGATTCGCATACCTACAGAATTTACACACCAAATTTCATAACGATCGGTGAAGTCGTTCCGGAGGAGTTTGCAGACAAACACTGTGACACGAGAATTTTATATATTAGATATGTGTCCGTGAATACGAAAACTTGAGTAATTTTTATCCGATTTTGATGAAATTTGGTTTGAAGGTGTAAGGCAGGATAAACTTGAATGAGTTCGCGATCCAGCATGATCGGACCATGGGAACAGGGTTTTATGGGGGGTTTTATGGGGTAAAAATTGGTTTTTCTCACTTTTGACCCTCAAAACACAAAATTTCCCAATTTTTCTTCAAACCTTCTTAAAGAGCTTAAAAAAACAAACAATTCAGTATATCAAAGAGATTTTTTACGGTAATTGGTTACGGAGAAAACTAAAAAAATGGTAAATTTAAAATTCCCATGTTATTCTTATGGAGAATATTGTAAAATGTTGTAGTTTATGGATGTCTTTTGATCAAACTTGGCAAATGTATTCATTTTATACTAAGCAATAATTATTTTACTTAAAACACACACTTTATTAGTTTTCTTGTAGCAGCAAACCTAGGTACTTGTTAAACCTAATGTTATTTAAATAGATTTAATTGAAAATCAATTCAGCCAAATGGAAATTTGCTTAGACAGAAGGCTTGCTGCGGCGGGGGTATTTTAAGCTCTATATGATGGATATAATGAAAATGGGCATTTTCATTTTACAGGTAACAATTTAAAAACCAACAATTGAAAACTTTTAAAATATCATACCACCCTATTGACATTTACCTTGTATTGCTGGCTCAGGAACTCATTCTAGTTAATGCTGCCCTACACATTCATGCATTATTTTTTTATTAATTTCTTTAGTTATTTTGTTTGCATACAAATATGATATAAAAATTTGGACAAAAAGTGTTTTTGGCCTCTGGAGACATCAAAATGAATAAATAAATTGGTTTAGGGTTCTTACAGAATTCATCTAAGGTAATAACTTCTTCCCTATTAGGGAAATTCGCTAAAGCAAAGCAACACATGGAGACGTGTAAGAGCAAATAAAATCCTTAAGTTTAGCTAAAATTTTAGTTAATGTAAATAAATTTAAGACAACAATAATTTGAAAAAAATATTTAAAATAATGTTTTTATATTTACAGCTAAAAATAAACAGAGATTCGAAAAACATATTTAGCTAGGTATTAGCATTTTTTGGATTCCTGACAAATCTCAATATTTATCCCTTATCATCGTTTAAACACATGGACAAAAAATCGTGATCTGTAAATAATATTTTGTATAAATAAATGGATATTCAAAAATATATTTGCCTTGTAAGTTGGACTTCCTAAATGATGTGGTTTTCATTCTCTATTTCATCCATGATTTATTTCAGGCTTTTAAGCAAACACTTCTGAACTGTAGTGAATACATTTTAAAGCAGAATTGTGGCTTTACAATTTGACTCTTAAGAAATATAATATGCATATTTCCACTACCTCAAACAAGTACAAAGAATATTTTTGCATATTATCTTGAACAAAACAAAATGAAGAATTGGATTTTTAATTTAGAAGAATTGGTGTCATTTAACATGCATACAAACTCCCTTCAAAATTCAAAGACAATAATTCAAGGACTATAAATCCCTTTTTATTCAATACAATATTTAACATTTTACACTTCAGACTTTTCTCAGGTTTCTTAAGTGAGTTGACGTAACTCAAAAGGCTTTTAATGTTATTTGAGGACAAAAATATTTGAAGTAACTCAAGAACCACGCCAAGGACACTTCAGCGTTTTAGAAGCTGCTGTAGCGGAAGTTGATGCAAATGTTTATTTGTAGACAAAATGCCCCTGTTTATTGGAGTCACCAGCTGTCTTTGGGGACTTCTTCTGCTGCTTATTCGAATGTATTTCTGAGATAAGGGAAACCACCTGGCCACCGCTAATGGTAAAGTAGAGTGTGCGTTGCAAGTTGCGCCCCCGCCCCGACAGTGATACTAACGCGATAACATCTCGTCCCTCACTCAACGTTACCAGAGTCATTAGATTTAAGTACAGTCATGAACAAGCTAACA